CCGCTGGCCTGGCGCAGCCGGGGCCCCTGCGAGCTCCTGAGCGCCGGGTTGCGCAGGAGACTGAAGCGGGATGAGCGGCCTGAGGGAAGCGCCGGGGCTGCTGCGCTGCGTTTAAAAGCCCCTGGATGGGAGCCTCCCTTTCCTTTTCAGTAGCGCACCTTTGTTTCTTTAAAGTGATTTGCAAAAGTGGCCATCCTGCCTGAGCGAATGTGGCACTCACGTGTTCTTCAACTCATGACAATGAATTAAACTATTTTTAGAAAACTGGTTCCTTTCCTTTGCCCCCTGCTGAGGGGAAAGGGCAGGCTCCTGTGTATGATATTGTAGTCATGTGACCTGGTGGTAGGTTATGGCCAAGTTGATGATAACCTTGTTAATCAGTCAAGAGAGGCTTGGGGAGGAGGGGCATTTGATGAGCTACTTTCACTAGGAAAGGTGAATTGCATTGCTTGTATAATTGCCAAAAGTCACCCACGTGATGCTCTTAAGAGAAGAGCTTTAAGTCTCACTTGTTAGGTCAGTCTTTTGTTAAACTCGAGAGTCCCATCTCAGCTGGAATCAGGCAGTAGTTCCCCATTGCGGAGTCTTTTCTTGGATAGACTTTTCACCTTAAAGGTATGGAGAACAACTTGCTGTAACACGTGTTGTCTGCTTGCATTACATTTAAATCATGAGAGGTACCCCAGTGTTGGGGGGAGGGGCAGGCATTTCTCTATTTGGTTCAGGGATGAACTGTCAGTAGACTTCAAAGGTGACTTGTTTGTTTGGGAATAAAAGCTTTTTTTTTCCAAAACAGAGAATGCCCTCCCCCCACACTTATGTATATGAAGGTTTAATAACTCCTTTCCTCCTTTGATTTCTCTCTTTCCTCTCCCTTCCCCCCCATTCTCTTTTCCAAAAAAGAAGGGGAGCTTCAGAACTAGCTTATAAGCTGCTCACTGAAACTCATACTCTAGGGAACAAGAGTTAACTTGCAATCCTTAATTTGCATAAAATGAGGTTGGAAAAGAGAGAAAACAATTTTTTTTGGTAGCTGGTATAAGAGTAAAGGGGCTGCCTGGAAAGTAGCACATAGAGCAGTGAAAGTCCCATAAAAAGGAAGGGGTATCAAGGATTGCTGAGATGTCTGGTAAAAGTGGAGCATCCTCATGCCCACAATGATATTAGGATTATTATGGTGCCTCAGTAACTTTCTTTGGGATGAGGAAGTCACTGGGAGAATAATGGTAAAAAGGAAATACCTTGGGTAGGGGAGGTCTGCTTCTGAGGCATAGGCAGGGAGAAGGAAAAGACTTGATAGTTGGATTTTGTCTAGAGAGAAATAGGCTTAGCAGGGTCTGTGGACAGCAGCACCTTGATGAAAAACCCTAGCATCTCTGTTCTTATCCATCAGTTGGGTAGAAGAAGCTAGGTGTTTTGTTCTGCTTCCCTGTCATGGATACCAGCCTCTGGCTAATTGGATATTTACTTGGAGATGTAAGTCAAAGATGTCTGCTCATGAAGACTTTTTTTTTTTTTCTTTGGAGACCCTCTCTGTGCATAGCTGTAACTGTTCCAGGGTACAAAAAGTGTCACTGTTTACTGGTATGTGAGAGCTCTTAAATGATGTAAGCCCAGCCTTCAAGAGGGCAAGTTACAAGGATGTTTAATGGTCTGGCTTCTGTTCTGAGCTTCCTCTCTCTGTCGTCTTGCTCCTACAAGGTGTATGGTAACAGACTGTGGTCTGGACCACAGTTTAGTCACTCACTTATTTTTTTGCTTGCCAAACATACCTGATCTTCACTTAACAGTGCTTTATTTGTTGTGTTGTTATTGCAGTCAGTGCAAAACTGCAGATTAAAACTGGCCACTGCCTCATGTTTCTTGCAAATGCTGTGATACACAAAAAATGGTTTATTTGCTTCACTGACTACTGCTTTCACTCTTGAGTTCAGCTGTGGCAGTTTATCTTGGGCTGCACAGTTGTCTGAGATGCAGTCAATTAATCTCAGTGGTGTATGTGAGGAAACTGAGATGGCAGGTACCAAGTTAAGTATGTTGAACAGTCCACTGATTGTCCACTTTTAAATCTATGTTAATGTTTGGTAACACTTCACTGTGCTGCCAAATAATGTTCTGTTGAGTCGTAGAAGATGGGGTATAAAACACATTTGTTCTTGTGCCATAACCTATTTAAAGGAACTCATACCAGATGATGGAGTGTCACAGTTCATGCAAATAAGCCTTCTGTAAAGCTTGGGTAGATCTTCTAGATCTAGCCTTGAAGACCCATCCTAGAAACCCACTGATATTTCTAGTGTGATGTTTTCAGCCTGAGATTGGAGGGGAGGGAAAATGTGATGACCAAACTTCTTGCATTCTGAATAGGAAATCTTGACGTACATTCTACTGGTGGCAGCTTGATGCATAAACTTGTTCCTTTTATCATGAGAATTCATGTTTTATTACCAAATTGCTCTCTTTCACCTTTATTTTGCACTTACTACTTTGCTACACTTTCTTCTGTCCACAGTTCTCTTCTGTTTTTGTTGCTGTTCCCGTTCCTTATTTTTTTTCTTTCAGCCTTCTTTTGTTTTTCTTAATGGCTGTGGGTATTGTCCAGTGTCCACTACAGAAAATGTCCTTCACCAGCAATATGAAAGTAACTTACTTGTTTCAAGTTCCTTGTGTCAGGAATGGATACAAAGACCTACTTTGAAATTGAGAACCTACACTAAGTCTAGAATTTGACACAACCTATCAAAAGATTAAAAATAGGAATATTAGTATATTTGCTGTCAAATTCTTTCTCCAGCCACCGAACTGGTGGAGCTTGCTGGCTAAGCATCTGGCACTAGGTTCACTTATATGGTTTTGACAGCTGTGGCCTTTTCTGAAAGTGCAAAGTGAATGCTTCCGTGTGTATTTGACTACTTGAGAAATAGGCTTAGACCTGAGAAAATGGAAAAGCTGCTTTTTCTTTTAATCTATGAATATAAACAAGGTGTAAGAGAGGACTTCTGTAATCTTTCAGTGTCCAAAGTCTAGAAACCATTGGGTCAGGTCTCTAATTACAAATAACAACTTCCTTTTGTTTAGTTAGTGTTTAAATAGAAGTCCTGTTTTAATTAACTTACTTATTTCTGTATCAAACACTTTATAAAGTAGCTTGTTCATTGCATTTTTATAATGAAGTTTTCATGTACACTTCCTACTGCCTGCCACCTCTATAGATCAGGGGTTGGCAATATTCTTGGGCAGGGTGCCAAAAACACCCTTAATCTTGATTTACAACATGTTGGCATAGCAGGGGTGGACAGTTGGGGAGCTGCAAGAGGCCTGATCCTTGTTGTGGCAGTGCAGCCCTGCCCCGCCCCTTCCCCGTGGTCCACCTCAGGCATACATGTCAAGCTAAATGCCTTTGAATGCTATGCTCTGGCACCTTAGCTGGTTGTTGCCTATGCTTGCTATATAGTATACACTACTGAAAAAGGCATCACTTGTGCTGTGTTAAGCATACCAAGCGTATTCAGCTGTTTGGACCACATTACACTTCACTACAGAACAATTACCTTAGAACAATTACCTTACTGTTCACAGTGTTAGTAAATTCAATTGATAAATCAGTCGGCTGCTTGCATCTTGTTTAGATGCTACTTCAATCACTATCAGTGCTGTGCAGCAAGTTTGGGTTTATAGCTGCAGCAGTAAACATGGCTGGGAAGAAAATTGGCAGCAGTAGTAGCTTATTTACAGCTTTTTCCCAAAGCAATACAATACATTGAGCAATAACAGCTATACCTAATAAAACAACATTTTATATCATTTATAACTTTTGAAAAAAACCATACAGTAAGATTATACCTTTTGCCAATTTAAACAAAATCAGAACAGAACATAGTGGGTGATGATATGAAAGAAAAGATGAACAAAGTCGTCAGTGTTAAAACAAACCATGAGGATCTGCTTGTTTTTTTGGGGGGGCCTTTATTCTTTGTGCAAGTAATGCAGATATAGCTACAGAGTATAGGAAAGGCTCCAAAGTGTTAGGAAACAGCCATATTGTTTTTGTTTCATTAGCCCAGTATTTAAATTTTCCCTTAAATAGAGGCCCATTTTCCTCTTAAATCATTTGTCATCTTGGTTTTTTGAAGAAATAAGTTAATCATTCTTCCCATGAATGCGCCATACAATAAAATGGACTTTACCATGGACTTAGACCTTTAGGCTGCTTGTAGATCGTTAAAAAATAAAATGAAAACACCCGGTGCTTTACTGCAAGAAGCAGCGCACTACTTTGACCCAGCTCCGCAGCATCTGTATAGATTGGGTGGTTCAGCAAGGCTTTTTAGTGTTTTTTATCTAAAGTCGAGTTGATTAACTATTAAATAAAAGTGCCAAAAAAGCCCCACCGAAACATCTGTATGGACCAGGTGCTGAGTGATCTGGGTCCAACTAACACACTGCCTCTTCCGGACATGTGCTGGGCTTGGCACAGGAATGCATGGAGTTTATGTAAAACACCATTTTTTGTTTTGTGGTGTTTTTAATGTCTGCAGGCAGCCTTAATGGTTCCATAACTGTCTGTCTTATTTTTTTAGGAAAAAAAATCCAAACAAACTCCACACAAGGCTTGTTTTGCGCTAGTATTTACATGTTCAGTGTACTTATTTTAGCTCACATTTTTGTCAAAGTAGATTCCAAAGTATTTGAAATAAGATACCTCTAGTTTCTTTGCTGTAAAAACCATACTTATTTTCTCCCTTCATTCCCAAATACCTTGGTTTTAG